AGGAAGCCAGTCACTGCATCTAGCCAGTACCTTTCACATGCTGTTGCATCCAGACAGACAGCTCACAAAAGGGACTGAAAGGCTTCACACACAGCCTTATATGCTGTTTCTCCATCCCTCCCCCAGAGCACTGGAATTGGAAGGGACCTTCACAGACACTGGCCCGCTACAGATGTCGATATCAAAGCAGTTCTTCCCTCCCCCCGCCCCCCCTTCCTCTTCTGAGTTTGTTTCCCTGCAAGTCCGCCTCAGAAACATCCAATACATTTTGGATGGCTTAGTTTAGTTTCGCAGATGTTTCGGAGCCTTCAGTTTGTTTCCGATTCAGTGTTTTGGGTGCCGAAATAGGCCAAAACACCTCCAAAACAAAATGGCTGCCGAAATTTTGCGCAGCCCTACCAATTACCTCTGGGTTCACACTTCTCCCAAGACAACCGCTCTCTCTCCAGTCTCTCAGTTCTAATCCTTAAAAGGAATTTACAAAACACCTTTTGTGTGGATAAGGCTACAAACTTCACTTCATAAATCTAGATACAAAAAATCATGGACTAAATATAGACATTGGATTTATGGCACATTATAACCTGCCTGCCATCTGATAACCCCAGGTAACCTGCCTGCACTTTACCAGCCACATTATATCACCAGTTCAGCATTTTCCCTTCTCCCCTCTCCCCATCTACCTCTCACACCTGTTGTTTCCCATTTCCTCTGATCCTCACTATCAAGCATTTGCATTTTCACAGACCTGCATTTTGCATATTGGTTTCTATTCTACCTAGGAGAGCACACAAACACCACCAGACTCTCCTTACGCCTGAAGAAGTGTGTTTGTTCCTGAAAGCTTGCAAAGAACAATTTTTCCAACTATTTAGTTGGTCTAATAAAACATATCATATCTACTCATTCATTTCTCTCTTCAGTTAAGGGAATTCAGATAGTACAGAGGAGAAAACATCCAAAAAAAAAGCATTGATTGTCAAGACATCCCTGTTTTTTGATTCTTATAAAGTTTTGAAAACAGCCCTCCTATTTTTATCTTTCTCATGTTGATTCCTGTCTCCCTAGTCTGCTGGAATTCTCTGAGGGTGTTAGAAATCATGCAAATAAGGGGGATCCAGTGAAAAGAATATATTAAAATTTACACCAAGTCCCATCATACAAAAACTAGGGGGCACTAACTGAAATGATCAGGAGGCAGGTTTAAAACAGACAAGAAGTATTCTTTTATCCAGCGTGCACTTGTGGAACTCATTGCCACATTAGTTCATAGAGGCAGATAATGTAACCAGCTTTAGAAAGAAAAACAAGTGGTTTTCAAATGGTGTTCTGCGAAACCTTGGAGTTTCACCTGTCGCGGGGGGTGTTCCACAAGATTGGGGGTAATGGCAGAGTGGGCTGAGAGGCAGTACACTAACATTGCAGAGCTGGGTCATCTGGTTCCCGGCTAGTTGCCTGTGGACCCAGTGGTTGGGGTTCTGTAGCAGAAGTGATATGAAAAAATTCTGTAACTTTAGGACAGGGTGCATTTATTTAAATCAAGTCAATTTAAATCAGTCAGCCAAAAGCCTGACTTAAATAATTGATTCTTATAATCTTTCCCATTATATATTTTTTGTTTCATTTTGTTGGTTTTTTTTAAAAGGATGTTTTCATTGGTTAATTAAAAAAAAAAAACCAAAAACCAAAAAAAACCCTAGCTGATTTACAACTACAGTGTTTAGAGTAGATTTGGTACATTTCCTAGTTACACAAACTAAAATATTTATATATAGCTTAACATATTTGGATTGTTAGAAATCCTACATTTTAGTATGCTATAAAATGGTGAAAGATATATTTCTTATTCACTAGATTAACTTTTTGTTCATATTTGTATGAAGCTGCATTAAGATGATAACTTGAATTTAATTAAGCACACAAGACCAGGCACTTTAAATTTACTATACAAAATGTTAATGGTTTGGATACATAATTTTTAAAAATTAAAACGGTGCACATTTACAGTTAACTTATTAAACACTAATAATAACTGTTATAATGTTAGAAGTATGAACTGTAGTTAGTAAATTAACCAGTTCTTTCAGGTTACCCCCAGGAAATTTTCTAAAATGCGTAGATGAAAGTTATGTGAGGTTAAATTCCTATTTCCTTAATTCTCTTGAAAATAGTCTTTTTTTTTTTTTCCTGGGCTGTTCTTTAAAATGTTACCCCCTTTCTTTCAGGTTTTTAGAATGCATACTCCCCCTTTTTTTATTCCTAGACTGGAAGAGGAAAAACAAGCTTTCTTCTTTTTATTTCCCATTTTATTTCTCCGCTTTGAATGAACCAGTTCAAATGAAGAAAATAGTCTTTTTGTACCTACAGAAGAGGCTACTGCCAGTAAAAGTTGGTTTAGTACTTCAACACACTCTGGCTGCAGATGCTTTGCTAGTGACTTCCACCAGTTCAGTGGTGTGATGTTTCTTTAAAACATCCTCAGCAAACATGTAGTGCTTGAAGGTTCACCTCTAGCCCTGAAAGTCATTGTGCTTGGGCATCTATTAAATCACCCATGCCATGTCATAGCAGCATTTTCTTCTTTGTCAGTTAGACACTTCCCTTGTATTCCGAGTTAAGAATATTGACAAGAAAATGAGGTGGAGTGAGTGTTTAATCGGTCTGCTTTATTGCCTACAATTTAACTTTGCTGCTGGGTATTTCTTCTTTTAATATTTCTTGAAGTTCTTTCCAAAGTTCAACAGCATCTGCAATATAGCAGCCATCTTTCTGTAGTTCAGCCAAGGCTATGGAAACAGATTTTAGTGTATTCAGCATATCTGCTACATTTCTCTTGAGTCCAGTGTTGACTGCTGTAGCTGTGATACTTCTATCCGTTTTGTCATGATTTTCTTCACAGATGATCATCAGAATAGGCCAATTAAGAAGTAGCTCAAAGCAGTCAGCTACTGAATTCCATCGTACATATTGGGGGAAAATTAGCTTGGCTCTCCCAGATCTTCAGTGAAACTGAAACAAACTGATTGTTGCAGAAATATTTTGCAGTTTCAACATTTTTCTTTATTCCTGGAGTACTTAAATCTTTCACTAAAAGATGCATCAAATGAGCATTGCAGCCATACGTTACAAGTTACAGGTTTACTTCATTATCTTCTAAACTTCTTCTCACTTTTGCTGCAGTCTTTTGACAAGACTGCACAAGTGACACTTGAATTTTGCTCGTAGTTTGTTATAGCTTTGACTGCTACTTCTTTTAAATATATTGCAATATGGGTATTTCCTGATCTTTCAGTTGTTTCTGAGAAACAACCCTGTCTTCGTTGTCACACAGACGTATATTATCAGATCATTGTGTACATTGCTTCATCCATCAAGACAACACTTCCCATCAGTGTTTTTTGCATACTGTTATACTTCCTTCTCATACACTGTATCCAGAAGCCTTCCAGCAATATCTGTTCTGCGGGGTGCAGTATAACATGGTTGCAGTGACTGAACTGTGTCCGTGAAATGTTTGTCCTGAACAGGATGAAAGGAAGAATTTGTTGTCAATGAACCGAGCAATCTTCTTGTCTAGCTGGCTTTTCTGGTCCTGATTATGAACTTATCCATAGTTTTAGGTGATCATAAAGACAGTATCTCTTTGGATACAGGTAGTTCACCGTCTGAGTTATGTTTAGTTGCATTACTGCTAGTGGTACCTGTGGATGATTCTGAAGCTGCAAACATTACAGGTGATGGACATTCATAATTCCTTGCATCTAGGCTGGACCCTGAAACAAGTTAAAGTCGCTCGCAAAAAAAGAGATTGTAAATGAAAGATCACTCATTCAGCAGATGTTTTTTAACCAGTGTTTAAATGTTATAATTTTTCCCAACCCAATTTTATAAGGAAAATATTCAATGAATCATAAAGGTTTTTTTTTCCTATGTAAACCCTTTCTCTTGTCAATATAAAACAGCTTGAAAAAAGTTACATTTTTTAATTTTAAAATTAATACATTCCTATTAAAACTATTCTGTGTCGGATATATTTATCTAGGGCTTGTATATTTGCTTACACTGAGCAATAAAACTCATTTCAGAAATGCAGGTGCAAGAAAAATGTATAATTGCCAAATATTTCCACAGACTGGCACTTTTATTACATTTTGACCACAAACATTTTGAAATTCATAAGTAATCCACCCAAAATAACTGACGTTATTGCCATAATTTTTTTATTTACTAGCATTGCAGTTTATGATAGGCTATCCATAAGAATGGTTCAAAAATAGTAAGCTTTACTAGCCAATTGATCCAGAACGCTCAGGTATGTCCACATCATCATCCTCAAGTTAGTTGGCTTCTGAGAAGCATTTTTGATAACGTTGCTTCATTTGGACTACCAGGCCTTTCATTTCTTTGTAGCACTGTGTATGGGTGTGTCACCTTACATTCTTAAACCAATGATAGTTGATGTCAGGGGATGTATAACAGGGGCTGGATCCCTCTAAACATGCCCGATTCATATACTCTTCTACTTGCCACTTTCAAAGACAGGGTTTTGGGCTAGATGGACCATTACCTTTCACCTAGTATGGCACCTCTTGCTGTATTTTGCGTGCCACATGCACCTTTTCCTCCCATAATCAGCCCTCCAAAACTGCAGTGCATTTTAAGTGGGGAAGCTGATTTTTCTTTGCTGGAATAGAAGTAGGAAAGAAAAGCAAGCAGATACTGATAAAATGGCCCATTTCTGCTTGAGGAAGCAAGCAGCAGGGGTGGAGTTTATAGTATTAGCCATCTCACAGTAGCTTTTTGCTGAAGAGCCGCTTCGCTGCCCGAGGGTGAGTGAGCTGCTGCAGTGCAGTCTGTACTATTTTGATGAGACTTGTGGTATGGAAGCAGCACTTTATTATGGACTGGAACTTGTATACAAGAACTGTTTACAGTGAAGAAGTAACAATCTTATTACTGTCTTTGCAACCATCTGAGGTCTTTGTTGCTGTCCTTCCATATCAGGAAGTTCCTGCTGCGTCATGTAAACTGTCTCCTGGGATGCGACACTTCATGTTTGTGGGAGGACTTTGTCACGCAGTTGACCATGACTGGAAAATCTTTTTTATATTCTGCCTTCCAAAAACAAGGTGTGTGTCTTATTTGAGGGTGTGTGGTATGCAAAAAAAAAAATGCTGTTTAATTAAGAAACACTTAGGAAAGACTGCGTCTAAATCATTCTGGTCCTGTAGGCCATATGTGTGTCTTGGGACCAGTCTGCAGGCCAGATCAGGCCCTGTGCCACCCCTGACTAGCCCTGTGTGCTCACATCAGGCTCCGGGTCTTTGTCACTCCTGCTTAGCTCTGGGCACTTGGATTGGGCCCTGCATTGCCCCTGTCTGGTGTAGTATCCCACACACCCGAACTGGGCTCCATACCAGCCTGTGCGCCAAATATAGTGCATAGAGCTGTGCTGTCTGGCCTGCAGAGTTCCCTACAGGTCTGGAAATTTGACAGCCACCACTTGCCTGTCACCAAATTTTCAGATCCATGTGGGGAGTCTATGGGCTGGATGATCAAGTGCTGGGGGCCAGATTTGGCCTGTGAGCCATGGGTTGAGTACCCTTGATCTAACATAACCTACTCATCTGTAGAGCATTCAGGAAAGATTCTCTAAATTGGATTAAAGTCAGTTACCAGACCGGAGAGAGCTGGAATTTGAGGGGTCAATTGCAGGAGAGGATATTCTGAATAATTTCTGTTCTTTAAAAAAAAAACCAACCCAAAAGACCAAAACATTTATTCCCAAGAATCCTTCTGCATAAATTTAAACAACAGTAAAGGGATAAATAAATCTGACCCATATATATATATAAATAAAAGCTTTAGTCTAACTCAGGGGTTGTTAACATTTTAGGAGTGGTAGGTCACACTAGCACGCCTTTCTCCAAAGGTGGGTCGTTGCACAGGCGACTGATAGGGGGGGCATCTCTGACATTGCCCCTGACTCAGCACCACTTAGGACTGGGCAGATTTTTTGCTGCACAGGCCAGCAGCATGTTGTGGGGGGGCACTAAGCTGCAGCATGGAAGTATAGGAGTGGATATGGGGCTTTTGGTCTGCCCCAGGCCCACACACACATTGTGCCTCCCCCCCTCCCCAGACTCCGAAGGCACCAGTCACCCCTGAGTCACTGCTTCCAGTTTGCTTCTGAGTCAGATGTTACTCTTCTTGCTGCTGCTGCTGAATTGCTACCAATGCTCCAACATGCATGTGGCCAGTGGCCAAATTGCTGTGGACTTTCTGATGAATGTGTGACTGGCCACCAAATTCAAGCCTTATAGGTTGAATGAAGTTACGTTGTGGTTCAGACCCGAGCCATGGGTCATAGGTTGCTGACTCCTGGGCTAACTCTAGAACTCCTGTAAAACAGCTGTTTGATCTACAGATACCTCTGGTTTTAGGCCTAAGGCAAGCTGTGCTGACATCTAGTCTCCTGAGGGTTTTTCAGCATCATTCTTATTTAAGTTAATCACAGGCTTCCATAATAAATTTACCAACTAGATAACTGAACGTGTGTTTACGTAATCTCCAGTCTATCTCACTTTTGCATTTCTGTCTCAGAACTTGAGGCCATCTAGAATGTTAGCCTGGCATGTTCCATACTAGTAAAGGGCTATTTTATAATTTTTTTTTTCTGAAATCAAGCATTACATTATAGGAAGGGTAACATACTTAATTTTTTAATTTTATTTTTTTTTTAATCACCGCACTCCTAGTTGATGCATGTTGAAATCCTACAAAGCTTTAGGGCTTCCTTCAATCACTCATTCCAGTGTATCCTGAGTAACCTTGTGAACTAACCTTATAAACTGGTTGTATCGTTTTATGAAAAGTTTTGCAGGTGACCAGATGCTCCTGGGTATCATGCTTGCCACTTTGAAATGTACATCTGAGTGTCTTCTGAATGGCACCTAGACCGGAAAATGTTCAAGGCCATCACATTTCAGGCCCCTAGCAAATGTTACATTTAAAGTACTATTAATGTGTTAATGGAACAGTAAATTATAATATGCCACATGTTCAAGAAATTTATAACCCAATAATAAGCTCCAAAAATTGTGAATGCAGAATATTTTTGCAGCTCAGCTGGATCATGGTTTAATTTAAAATGTCATGTTTACATGGAAGGTAATAGTGTCTGGTCAGGTCCTCCAGAATCCAAGGGTGGACTGCTCTGTCTCTGTGCAAGCAGACACTTTCTAACTGTTGCTAAACTCCTGGCATCCCGACTCACTTCTCCACCTCCATTTCCGTACCCAGCCTTCAAAGTTTCTTTAAGGAGCCATTTATCACCTCTTTCCTGAGAGCTAGAGTGTAACAGTCTACATGACTGCCTTGCTTGGACATAGTATGAATGTGTTGGGGAAAGGGGAAAAGCACATAACCTCCCATTCTTTGCAGAGTTTGCCTTGCTGGGTGCTCGTTCCTTTACCCAGGGGCAGCTCAACTGTTGAATTTAGTTCATTTTTCATTAGCAGGGATCCTGGTTTTCTGTTTTAAAACAGCCCCTGCCAAGCAGTACTCCAGCTCCCTCTGCTTGGGAGTGCTGGCAGAGTAAAATCCCAGGATGCTTTTTCTTCTCTGGATAGCTTGCCCTGTGAAGGGGAAGCGCAGGTCACATGGAGCAACAGTTGCCCCCCTGCCAGGAGCCTCAGTGAATTTAAGCCTCTAACATATAGTTTTTGTTTCTGCACTGAAATAATACATTGAGTCTGATTCCAAGTTTGTGCATTTGGACTGCTTACAGATGATTAAAAAAACCCAAAACAAAACCAAAAAAACCCTGCACTTTATATGAAACTCTGCATGCCCCCATGCTGAGCACAGCGCATGCCCAGAAGAGGCATCATGTTAGTTCGACCTGGCTTGCTCGATGTCTATATAGATTGGGCACTTCAGTGGGGTTTTTGGGTGCTTTTATTTAATAGCTGATTGAATCGGCTTTAGATAAGTGCCAAAATGCCCCCCTGAAGCACCTGATCTATACAGACACTACAGAGCCGGGTTGAACTAATGCGCTGCCTCTTCTGGTAAAGCGCTGGGTTTTTTGGGGGGGTTTGTTGTTTTTTGGGGGGGGGGGGGGGTGCCCACCCGGCCAGCCTTGCTAACAAAGTGCACTTTGCACAAATTCAATTGTCAGGATGAGTAGACCTGAGTCTGAACAACTGGAATACTTGTCTGTTTGTCTGTGTAATTATTTTTTTCAACAAAAAACCCTGAAAGTCTAGTTTTGCTTGTAGGTGTTAGGTACAAGTAGTTCTTCACTTTGTCCCACAGGCAAAAAAGATAATATTCCACAATATGTGAATAAAGTTGTTACTAGTTTTTCTGCCTACAGTAAACTAATAAGAAAATTTACATTTTCTTTGCTTGAAATTTAGTTTCTTGCTTGTAAAGGCTGTAGTGAAAACTAAAACACAGTTCTTTCCCTGAAGTGTCTATTAGGAATCCAGATACCTGTTGGGAATTCATTTGTTTTGCAGAAGAATCCATTATGGAACTGTTATCCTTTAAACCAGGGATCAGCAACCCCTGGCGCACATGCTGAGCATAGCACACAAGGCCATTTTGCTCGGCACACCACTGCCAGCCTGGGCTCTAAGCAGCTGCTGCCAGCCATGGAGTCCAGGTTGTTCCCAGCAGGCAGCTGGGAGGCTGCAAGCCCTGCTGCAAGCAGACTGGGCTCTGTGGACCAGCTGCAGCTGGGAGGCTGCAAACAGCTGCTCCGGCATGTTGGCACTCCGGCACCTTCCAAGGTAGGCCTTGTGGTTTTTTCGGCACTCTGTCCAAAAACGTTGCCTACCCCAGCTTTAAACAGTCAAAAGCTTAACACGTTCCTTCCAATCTCTTAATAAATATTTAATTAAAGTAAAAGAAAGCCCTGAAGGCATAGAAACAACATTCTCTCACTTACCACATCTTTTTTATTGTTAATGTACAGTGCGAGTCAAATACTAAATCTTAACATTGTAATTAGATGTTGAAGTGATACCACTTTAAAAGCACCGTTTTATTTTGACTTCCATTTTGCCGCTTCAAAGGGGCAGCGTTTAATTTTGCTGGTTTGAAACACTGCTCCGTTTCGTTTCGTTGAAACTGTTTCACTGTTTTGACGCATTTCAGTGTTTCGTCCATAGGCTATAATGGGGAAATCACAAAAATGCCTATAACTTTGTCATTTCTTTCCTGATTCGAATGAAGACAGCAGGCATGGTAGCCCCTGCAGAGGCCATGAAGCCTGCCAGGTTACAAGGAGATAGGTGCAGAGATTTCTGGGAAACTGCACTGTGTCACAGAATATAGGGTCCCTAGATATGGCCGTAATACACGTAGGGCCCTGTGACTGTGCCAGCTCTGCCCTGTGGGTGTCTTCTTTTTTTTACCTGTCAATATGTATTGTTGGAAAAGATAATAGGGAGGCGCCCGTGAGCTTCAGCTCAGTCATGGTCCTAATGGACCCCGTTAAACCCTGTAGGTTCTTGGACCCCTTGGTGCTCTAGGTGCTTCAAGGGGACACCCTAAGTCTTTTGCATGGCTCCAGTCATCCCTTATCACGCCCCATGCCTCACAGATAGTATACTGATATTGTCCCTGTAATGAGGTCTTGGTTTCACTCTATATTCTATTGTTGCTGGGCTCTCTATGCCCCTGTCACTGCGCCCTCACTGGTGCTGGGACCTCTACATGACACACTACTGTGCCCCAATGAGGTCTCCTCCTCCCCTACAGCCTCAGTCTAGTCCACCACTTTAAATAACAACATGTAAGCAGCACAGTAGCACTAGCATCTCCCTGCCAGCCCCAGCTCTGGGGCTTAGATGTGCCCAGGGCCCTGCCTCCTTCTGGTCAGCTGACATGGGTATTGGTTGTAGCCGTGTTGGTCTAAGGACATGGCAGACAAGGTTCTTTGGGTCAATCTGATATATTTTAGTAGACCAACTGAATAGTTGGAGAAATACATCTTAGCAAGCTTTTGGGTTGAAAACCCTTTGTCAAGTTGAGGAAGCACCTGCGGTTGGTGTGTGCGCTCTTCCTGAATGGAAGGAATAATAAAGAAGCCAGAGGCTGGCATGCATGCAAGAAAGCC